TCAGGAGCCTTGTATTAAATTTTTACACATTTTGACCCAACAGATAAAACTTTATTGATATTTATAGAAAAAAAAACTAAAAAAAATTGAAAGCTGTAAAGGTCCATAAACAGCTCAAAAAGAGTCAAAATATTTTCAAAATTGTATGGTGTATAGGAAATGCTAATATAAACATTCAGTGAAATTTTCATGTATCTACAGTTATTTGTTTTTGAATTACAACAAAATAAGGAAATCGCTACATGGGAAATCGAGTGAATATTCAATGTTGTAAAAATTTGAATTTCAAACGGTCATAAAAATTTAATTTGACTTTCTTATAGACTTTTTTCTTTTGATAAAGGTAGATAATCTTATAAGGAATCTTGTGTTTAATTTTCAAATCTTAGATTTAAAAAGAAAAATTTTTACGAATTCTTAACTCAAAATAATTTGCTAATTTTCGTGATTTTCCCATATTTTGTCAATTTTTGAACTTTAAATGCTTATAAAAAAAATTGTGACTAAGGATTTTTAATATTTTTCATCTGCCTTTGAAACAATATATTAGGAGCCTTCTATTAAATTTTCAAGCTTTCGCAACCAACAAATAAAATTTTATTGATATTTTTAGAAAAAAACTAAAAAAAAATGGAAAATGAAAATGTCCCTAAACAGTTCAAAATAAATCAAAATATTTTGAAAATGTTATCGTGTATAGAAAATGCAAATATAAACAACCAGTGAAAATTTCATGTATCTACGGTCATTTGTTTTAAAGTTACACCAAAAACCAAATTCGATTTTTTGGAAAATCGATTTTGCGTAAAAATTCCCGTTTTTCCTTAATTTTTATGTTGTTTTTCCCGGCGCTTGTGAAAACTACTGGAAAATGTTTACTTTTGACCCCCCAAAGTACCAACTAGATTCACTTTCCTATCAGAAAAGGTACTATTGAAGAAAATCGAAGCACTTTTACTGTCCCAAAACGTGATGACAGACACAAAAATATAAAAATATAAAAATATAAATAAAAATATAAATAAAAATATAAAAACATACATCATTGTAAAACCAATACATTCATCGCTCCGCTCAGAATCTAAAAAACACACATCATTGTAAAATCAATACATTCATCGTTTCACTCAGAATCTAAAAAATACTGCATGGTTTATAACTTTATAAGTCAAGAATACTATAGAGTATGGGTGATCAAACACTGATATTATTTAAATGATAATTTTGGAATTGTATCTTAATATAAAATCTTATGTTTTCCTTTAATTTTAAATTTTTAAAACTTCGGAACTTCATTGCTCCGGAACTAATTTATTAACCGATAACATTGTCGATAAAGCTGGGCTCGCGTCTGGTATCATAACAATTATTGGTGCAATAATATGTGAAAATGGTAGCAGGTCACATCCCCGTCACCGTTTCCCCGTCGGACATTTACCCGTCCTCGTTTCCCCGTCGGACATTTCCCCGTCTAATTCAATTTAATTTAGTTACACAAATGTAGATACATTACAATGTAGATTATATACAATAGTCAATAAGTAATATTGTCATACTGTAGATTAGCTATACATTTAGCGACAATTCCGTTGCCGTAGTACGTTAGTTTTATCGGTGATTAAGATAAGAGCAACCGAGAAGATATAAATGACAGATTGTAAGGTAAACATTATAGTAGTATACACAACACGATTTAAGATATATATCTTAAATCGTGATACACAATAATCAGTCTTTCGATATTCGACAACCGTCGCGCGTCGTTCTTATAATATAATATATATAATTAATTTATAATTTTATTTTTTTTCAAATTTAATATTTTATTTTTAATTTGTTGTTAAACAAATTTATACAATATCTATTATGGTTTTAGAGTACGTTAAAAGTTCTAAAGGAAAAGATTTGTTAGGGTTTGTAGGATATGTATTTGAAAAAGATTATACAAAAAATGGTAAGACGTATTGGAAATGTTTAAAATATAATACCGATAAGTGTCTTGGACGAGCACACACTAAAGATGATACAGTTGTACACCACAAAGATGACACAATCACATACCAAATGCAGCAGAAATTGGTGCTAAGAAACTTATACAAAAAGTAAAAGAAACGGCAACTAGTCAAATTGAAGCTACACCGCATCAAGTAATTTCTCAAATCCCATCTTCATCTCAAGCAATATGTGCTACTTTACCTTCAGTGCCAGCTATGAAAAAAATTGTACAAAGAATCAGACGTCGAGAAAATGCTCCCCCATCAAATCCTTCAACTTTACCAGAATTGATTCTTATTGAGCCATATACGAGTACACTAAGTAATGATCCATTCATTCTTTATGACAGCGGTGTTGGTAATGATAATAGGATTTTATTATTTTCCACGGACGAAAATTTGAAAATATTATCATCCGAACAATGTCACTGGTTTATCGATGGTACATTTAAATCATCCCCGCACCTGTTTACTCAGCTTCTTACCATACATGCTATAAAATTCAACACAGTTTTGCCGTTGGTGTTTGCGCTTCTTCCAAATAAAACAAAAGATAGTTATGATCGAGTAGCAAGAGAACTTTATATTTTAGTTTGTAGGCTACAACCAGTAACTATTATGACCGATTTTGAACAAGCATTATTTGGTGCATTTATTGATGTTTTTACAAACACCAAAATTAGAGGGTGTTTTTTTCACTTTGGGCAGTGTATAGGTATGGCAAAAAATACAGACTATTTCTGATATTCGTGAAAAATATATTTCAGATGCAGATTTTGCTTTAAACATAAAGCAATTAATGGCATTAGCTTTCATTCCAGTACCTGATGTCGTAGACACATTTGACGAACTAATGTCACAAAGTTTTTTTGTAGAACACGAAGAGCTTTTGCGTCCACTAACTGATTACTTTGAAGATACGTGGATTGGAAGACCAACAAGACGAAGAATCCTTCGGCCACCTACATTTAGTCTAGATTTATGGAACCAATATGACGCGACACTTGAAGGATTGCCTAAAACAAATAATTCAGTCGAAGGTTGGCATAAAGCTTTTTCATCTTTGTTAGCCGCAACTCACCCAACTATATGGCAATTAATTGATACCCTTAAAAAAGAACAAGGATTAACTGAAATAAAAATTAACCAGTTGATGGTTGGTCAAGAACCACCAGCTAAAAGAAAAAAAAATCGAGAAGTAGCCACACGGATAAAAAATATTGTAACTACTTACAATGATCGCGATAAAAAAGAATATTTAATTGGAATAGCACATAATTTAGAGATGCAAAAATAAAAATAATATTTAACATCAGCTCAATAGTAGTGATCGCTCGTAGGTTTTAGTTTTAATTTTTTAATTTTAATATGTTAGATATAAATAAACAGACATAACTTTTTTAAGTTTTATTAGTTTTAACTTTAAGGTAACAACAAGAAAGAAAGTGTAAACCGCCAATTCATTACGTATTAAGTATGAGTTGCCAGTCCCAAGCCTGGAAATAAGTGTGAGGGCGCTTACATTACAGTAATTATATTTTAAATTTGAATTAGACGGGGAAATGTAAGACGGGGATGTGACTACCATAAACCTGTGAAAATAATAAATTACAAAATTTCGGCCACGTAAATGTGGCAACATCGCATAAAATATTCTATGCTCAATCGTGTTGCTAAAAAAGGTATATACTGTATGCTCAATCGTGCTTTACCATGCAGTGGCGTGGCCAACTAAAGATTGTCCACAAGTCACAAACATCCCAAGTACTAATGCTGCATAATATAATGTATATTAATATGATATAGCTAATTATATTAATTCAGATCATTATTGACTATCTATTGAGTATACGATATATTATCGTATCATAAAACATTTACTACTAGGGAACCCGTCTACTACCACCCCCATTCCTCTATTTGAGAAAAATCTCAGAGGCGATCGCCTCTGAAATTACCGTCCACGACGCCATTGCGTCATAGGCGCAATTTGGGGGTGCTTGGGGGTGCTTAGCACCCCCAAAATTCATATTAGCACCCCCAAATTTTTAACAGCATCATTTAATTGTTATTGGTTATACACGTATTATGTCATAGACAACAGGATAAATTAATTTCTAAGATTTGACTTATATAATAATAATAATAATAATAATAAATAATAATATAAAATACCGTTTTTCGGATGAAAGTTTAGTTTTAGCTAACTCATTAGACCAGTTTATGAAAATGGATTTTGAAAAAGGTTCATATTTCATCAATAATTACAAGGTTCGTAACTACTAACTAGTAAATTATTCATAAACTAAATAATAATAACTCATTAATTGAATTCATAATAATTATAAATAGGTACCTAATAACCATGTATATAATATATTGATGTGATTAATGTAATGTAGGTTAATTTTGTAAATAAAATAATCATGTGAGGATAATATAATTTCAGGATGTTGTGAATATTGATTTAACATCATTGAAAGCAGAAATGTTGCTGACAAAAAATTGTTTACAAAATGGAAATTTGGATTTTTATATACTTGGAATAAAGAAAGTGGTGACTGAAGATGTTTTACCAAATTGTTTAAACTTATTCAAGTAGGATTAGCTATTCCTATAAGCTCAGCTACTTGTGAAAGGTCTTTTTCATCTATGCGCCGAATAAAGAATTGGCTTAGGCAAGCATGGAACAGTCAAAATTTACAGATTTGTCAGTTATTAATATTGAGAGAGATCTAAGCAATAAAATTTATAAAGATAAAATAATAAATAATTTTGCTATGTCTCAAAGGCGTATATCTTTAGTATAATATTTAAATGAAAATAAAAAACGTATTTACCTGTATTATATATTTATTTTTCAAATATTAATAATTATTGATTAATCAGGTAGTATTATGAATGCATGAATGGTGTTATGAGGGGGGTGTGGGGGGCGAAGCCCCCCACGGGTTACTTTGGTCCACATAAATCTAGCACCCCCCATAAATTTAGCCCAAATTGTGCCTATGCATTGCGTATACTTACATCTCGTTTATCAGTGGCGTGTACGGCGACCCCTTGGCCGTCAACACCGATGCGTAAGCGACCGCGTGACGACCGGCCACCCACCGACATGACTCGGCACCCGTTCTGGTGACTCATGGCCCTGGCCATCACCATGGGCGTCTCCAGCACCAATATGGTCTGATGGGTACACACCGACTTGGCCATCACCTCGATGTCGCCGAACTCGTACTGAGGGCACGGAGGCTCGTTCACCACTCCCAACCACCGATCCATTATGAACGCATCCGTCTCGTTGGCCTGCGGACGCGATGATGTCATTTAATGTTTGACCATAATCGGTATGCTTGACCAGTGGAGTGTAACGTATGGGGTCCTGCAAGTGTTGCACGGGCAACACCTTAAATATGGGTGGATGGGTAGTGATAGATGAAAAAATAGGTCATTTTATAGGTCGGTACGTCTCCTACAATTATTTGAGCAATACCAATTTTTTTTACGATACACGCCACTGGGCACAATCGTCGTCAACGGTCAACGAAATATAACAATGCTAGCCAACACAGCATAATATCAATTTTATAACGATTTAGAGTGCTGACATAGAGATTCGTCATAATAATAATAAAAATGTATAATAGGTCTTTCAAGTAGGTATATAGTATATATAATAGTATATTGTGTGGCAAGGGCTGGAAGTGAGCAATTTCAATATTTTGATAGGGGGGGGGAGGGCACATATAAATTGTATAAGTTTAATTTTGTCTAAAGTGCACTTTACCACCCCATGCATATTTTTCGATTTTCTTTTTTGGCACTTGTGTAACTCATCGAGTTAAGAACGATGGTGCAATCAGAATTTGTCGCTCTCACTTAGTTTCGAAGTTATGGCCCTTGGAAGTAAGCAATTTTGCGTTTTTTACGCATGAGCGCAACGCTATGTGTCACGTCTTTCGCGATTTTTTTTTCTTATTCGTGAGACTATATAAAAAATAAACGAGTGAAGAAACACGGGACTAAGAGAGGTCAACTTCACTAGAACGCAGCACTTGACGTAATGACATTTTAACTGTGTATTAAAAATTTAAAATATAGTTTCTTTAATATTATAATATAATCTAAAATCGTATTTATTATTTATAATTGAATGATTATTATAATTAATTATTATCAGGTAGGTTATAGTAGGTACCTACTATAGGTATGATTCGAGCATTTATTTAAACCAGATTGACTATTTCTACTTCCAGGAGAGGAATATTTTTAATTGTCCGAGCGAGCGCAGCGAGCGAGTGACCCCGCTCGGTGACTCGGTGCAACAAAAATGCAATTTTCTTAAACCTGTGACCCACTTGGGGAGGTGTTTCATAGCAAATCGGGGGATAAATTATTATTGCACTATCGTTTTAAACAGGTTAGAATACGAAAGTACAAAAAAATAACAAAAATAGTCCTCCGCGCGGCATTATAGAGTAGTGTTGCGCGCATGCGTATAGACGTAAAATTGAAAACTTTGGAAGGCCATAACTTCGAAACTAAGTGAGAGCGACAAATTCTGATTGCACCATCGTTCTTAACTCGATAAGCTTCATAAGTCCCCAAAAAAAAAAATCGGAAAATTTGCATGGGGTGGTAAAGTGCACTTGTTCCTTAATTTTAATTAATAATACATACATATTGCATACTCGTGGGCCGCATTTCACTAAAGACTGAAATTGCTATCCCGCACGAGCCACACTTACTATTTTTTGTCACGCCTCTGCGTTTATCGATCACGAAAAGTTCGCAAAGTTAATGCACTACGCAGGGCGCAGGGGTAGTCTGTGCAACAACCAGAGTACCAGACTATTCTACAAAAACATTGTTTGCTCGTCATACAGGGAGGTTATAATATGAATATAAGATGTAGCCCTCGACGTAGATAACCTAAAGTGTATGTTTTGTAAGGACCGTGGTATAGTTTTCAGTGTTGCCTCAATAACTTATTCGAGAAGGGGTAACATTTTTTTATCCCCTATGATTTTTTGACAGCATACAGCATACATTTTGTATATATAAATTCAATATATTACCTATTGTTAGGTTTTTGACATTAATTGTATCTACTGATAATTCACAAAATAAATACTACACAATAATAGAGGAGACTGCGGTTTGATGGGGTAGGCACCTAACTTGAAAATCATTTATTTTATTCACTGTCATGCTTAAAAAATAAAATACACAAATACTGAAATACTTGTTTTAAAAATACTCATTCAGAGATGATACCAAAATATATCGTGTTATATTATAGTTCATAATATGATTTATGCTTTACATATTTAACAGAAAACTAGAAAAGTGGCATACTCCGAGAACTTGTACCTATATTATCTAACTTTTTTTTTAAAATATACCTACATAAACAGTTTTTTTTAAATAGTTATTTTAAGTTAAAATTTGGACGAAATTACATATTAAATAACCAGGAATAACGATTTTAGATGTTTGTTTGTTATTTTATAATATTAATTCAACTAGGTACCGTATTAATAATAAATAATAATTAATAAGCAATGACAAATATCCTAGACTGACTAAGAAAGTATCATTGCCAAAAAATGTACAACAAATTTATAATTTGTCATTTCACATCATGATCACAATATTCTTTAAACATTTGGTTAGGTAATTGTTTTTTTGTTAGTAAAATATTATGCTGTGTGCATGTGTCTAGACCATGTTAGGGAATAATATAATATCTTCGACCATGGCCGGGCGTCAAGAACTCCAGAAACATCGAAAATAAAATTGAATTAAAATCAATTTATAGAATAATATCTATGTATTTTCTTGCTTATTTATCGTGTTTGAATTCAAATCAGTGGACAACAGGTAGGTATTGACGTACCTATATGGTACTGAAATGTGGGCCTGTATTATAATCGATGTAAGTATCAATATAACGCTAAGAATTAAAATTTGTTTTTCCAATATATTTTACCTAGAAATTTAAATTATAAAATACCTACTGTCAAACGGGCCAACTTGGGGCGGTTTTTAAATTATATTGTTAATAACTTTAAGATTAATCATTAATCTAGATGGAATTTCAATGTAACATTTTTTTTTACTCGAGTTTGACTTTATTTATTTTCCTGCTCGCTCCATGTTTTTCTTATGATTTATGAAACACCTATAAATAAATATCGTATATTATCATTCACTTAAACCAACATGGAACTTTTTAAAATTTTTAAAAAATAATATACAATTTTCTGAGTTTAACAAATATATTTTGGAACTGGTTAGTATATTATATTAACACGTAATTTTTCTCCCACATTTACCTTTCTGTACAAAATTAAAAATATAACTATAGGTATTAGCCGTTAGGTACCTACTATCATTGCTTATAAATACAAGTATTTATACTCAATACCTACTCAATAGTACTATTTAGACTAAATTGTTTTAAGGTTAGTCTTGTTTAAATGGAATAGACTTGTTTAAATTTATCCTAGCTATAACTTGGACCATGGTTGAATAATAGTAGCAGAAGTTGGACTAAAACTAAAAATGTATTTACTGATAGGTATGCATGACTATAATATAGAGCACATTTTACAGTTTACACTTTTTACTATCAATTTTTATATAAAACATCTCATTCAATGAGTATTAGTGTAAGTTTTCGGACTTTGGCAAAAGGATAGATATTGAAAAATTGTTAATTATTTTTACTATACCAGAATTATTATTCTTTGTTTTTCAAATATCTAAGAGTGTATATTATGATACTTTGACATTTTATAACACATACATGATACATGTACTATAATATACATATACATAATATATATATAAGTATTATGTTAAACAATTATGAATTGATACGACTTAAATAGTTCAACATAATAACAACACAAATTTATAACTAAAATAACAATTTCATTTGTTTGGTTAACAAGTAAATTTGGTTAACTTAGGTACAATTTTTAATGGTTAGATATAAATTATATTCTAAAATATCAAAACAATACCATACATAGGTACACAATATTGTTGTATAATTTAACAATATAATAATATAATACAATATAGGTAGGTACTATATTAAAGACTGTATTCTATATATTATTATTAATAACAATAGGTACCATATGTCCATATATAAATATAAGATAAATATAATATTTTAATCATTAATATAATGAACGTATCATTATCTAATTGACTCGAATCCATGGTCTATGGACTAGGAAAATGTGAACGAAAAATCTATTGTACAATTTTAGTAGATGTTTAAATTGTTCACGTTCACATAAAATCACAAAACAAATCATTATTTCGATTTCTGGTCGTATTGTGTTCTTACAAAATACGTTGTCAATGTGCCTTTTCTTTTAACGTATGTTGGGCCCCGACATTCACAATCATAACCAGCTGCCATCAGGATTTTAGCCGTATCTTCAGTGACCTAAATAAGAAAACCACATAATAAATTGTTAGATTGGTGGCTTTTGCAAATACATATGCTGTTTAGCTGTTATGGCATTGACGAATAACTGTCCTGTAATAATATGCATACCTGAATTCTGCCCATAATCCCGCAACTGTCCATCCGAGACGCAACGTTCACGGTATTGCCCCAGATTTCGTACTGTGGTTTTTGTGCACCTACCACACCAGCAATGACTGGACCATGGTTTAATCTTATTCTTAGTTTAAACCGCTGAAAAGACCATTCTCAAAACCAGGGAAGTTAATATTTTTAGATATTCTAAGGAATCTGCTGTAGATGAGCTCAGGGACTGGGCAGCATACTGGACTCGCATTTTATTATTATGCCAGTTAACATGGGCCTTACTCAATTTATTAGCTAATTTTAATGTTAAATCTTTTTGAACCTTAAATAGATTTCTGATATGGTCCCATCTAATGTTACCAGAGAAAACAGATGGTACAGCAGTATCATTTAAATGTAAACGGTAATTGCCTCCTGGATTTATTTTGAAATCGGATGCTACATAATGACTGCTGCAAATAGCACTGTTTTTTGTTGGAATAAATCCTTTACGCCCTACAGCGTTTATCCAAAGTTGGTTTCTTTCAGCATTTTTTAAAGGAAATCTATAATCCATACAATAATAAACAATTAAATAAGAAATGCTTTATCTAATTAAACTTATTAGTAACTGTAGATATGGATTGAACCTACAATCCTAAAAGTTAAATTATAGTAAAAAAAAATTATTTTGCAGGTACTTACGAAAAAAAATGGATATTGCCATCACGTTGCCTTCGATTAGTACAGGCATGGGCGGAACAAGAAACGGGCATCTTATTAATTACTTTAGTAAGTAGGTTATGTAGGTACCGTTTGATAATTTTATTACTAATTTAGCCTAAAATAATTCAATTTGTATTTTATATTCTCGTAAAAGTAAAATATGAAAAGAAATACGTTTTTTGTATTATTGTTTATTATCAGATATCAGTACAGTATCTTATCTATTGAATTATTATGTAAATATTGCCCTGTTGGCATATGGCGGCCCGACTTCAACTGTGCTTCAACCATGACTAAATAAACATAAATAAATAAACAAACATAAATATAATTTATATAGTCATGGCTTCAACCACAAATTTCTATATTATATTTCTTTAGTATAGAAGTCTGTGGCTTCAACATTCTTATGGCATAGACACGGACTAAGATATAATGGACTGGAAACGACATGGTCGGCGGGGATCGGGGGACGGCCACGAAAAGATGTCACTTAGCTGATAAGAATACTGTTCTTGAAGTTTTCAGCGCTACCGGTGGTTTTATTTGGCTACACAATTTGTATCTTAGTCCGTGTTAAATACAGAGGGCGCTGTGAACTCCAAGAACAGATAGCGACCCCCCGCACTTTGCCTCTTGTACATACATTCGTGGCCATGATAAGCTGCTCGTTTCCAGTCAATTATATCTTAGTCCGTGGGCATAGATAATTATAGAAGATAATATAATTCTATTATCTATGGTTTATCCCGACATTGAAAACATATATGATAACATATAGTTCAATGGCCTTAGTCCGTGGCCGCAACCAACATGGCGCTTTTTGGCGACGGCTGATAACAATTATCACTAGTTAGCAATCTAAAGTCACAGACTTCTATACTACACTAGATAAGGAACTCTTATACAATTTACATTGTTACAAATGAAGCTCAGCTGTGAACGGCCGCCATTTTGTCGGTTGGCAAAACATTTCATTTATTATACAAAATGTATTAGGAATAATATTTTTTTTAACGGTCAAATAAAATAGTAAATGTAAAATGACTTATATAAAATATTTTTTTTTTTTTGTAAACTAAATGTTTAAAAATAATAAAATACGATATAAAATAAATCATAATATCATCTTATTTGTCATATGAAATACCATACAATTGCCAACCGACCTTGAAGCTTCAATTCATGACCGGAGTTCGCTATCTAGTAATATATAGAAATCTGTGTCTAAAGTTTATCATATTCATAATCATAAATATATATCTGTGGTTATGGTTGACATTTTGACAATAAAAATTTTATTTCGGAGTAATACAATGTCGTAGTAGTATATAGTCGTAGTTACTTCTTTATCCTATGGTCGTAGCACTGGTGTTATTCCTTCTGATCCCATGTACATTCCAGCCTGCTGAAAGTTAAAAGTTTAAAACAATATTATCGTAGCTAAATGATAACTATGATACCTATAAGCTATAATTATTAATTATGTTTTTTTAAGTAAATCAGATACAATAAACATTGGTTGTACACTTGCACATAGTTACATAATATACTATATACATTAAAAATTATTACAAAATTAAATATTATGCAAAATATGCAATTAATAGTTAATAGTGGAAATGTTTAATAACACAAAATAGGAACCACTGGTTCATGAGCCACGTTGGAGTATTACAATTTACAACTCGTTTAGAACTTCATACATATTATCTTTTTTTAAATTAAAGATAATTATTTCTACAAAATATATCTTGGTATAGTAGTTCTAACTTCTATTCATATTTCATGTACGTGTTTTCTATTGAGACTTAAATAGAAGTTCATACACATTTCGTTTTCAATTATTTACCTTTATGCGTTTTTTATTAAGTATTTCGTGAGTTAAAAACAATTTTTATTCTAAGAAGATAGGCTACAAATTATGTTATATTTATTCTTAAATATTATTTATTGTTGCTTATTATTAATCTAAATATTTTTTTTTATATTTTACTTGCATAGTGAGGAAACTGTAAAAGCTTTCATTGTATGCCTACCTAATATTATAGCTTGAAAAGTCAAAATGAAAATTAAACAGTTCCAAAAAACGGTTGTATCAACATGGTCACCAAAATCAAATTATCCAATCAACATAGCAATGGGTACAGCAGCCCAACAATTAGATGCTTCATTTAACACATCATCAACGTTAGAACTGTATACTGTACAACCTAATGATATAACACTCAACGCATCAATTTCTACTGATTGTCGGTGAGTTCATAAATTAAAATCAAACCTTAACTATTATTATGCTTATAAACATTTTATATTTATTATTTTCTTATATTTCTAACATATTATTGTATACCTACCTAAATATTGTTATATTTTATAAAGGTTTCATAAATTAGTATGGGGTGGTGCTAATAGTAATGAAGAATGGGATTCTGGCATTATTGCCGCAGGCTGTGATAATGGTGTTATTCGTTTGTATAATGCATTAAAGTTAGCAAGAAATGTTGATAGTATATTAGCTAAAAGTGATCGTCATGTTGGATCAGTCAAAGCTCTCAATTTTAATTTATTTCAAGTACGTAAAAATTTTTTTTATTATTTATTAATCATATCTACATAATAATATGAATGATTGTAACTACCTACCTACCTAAATAAATAATAATTAGGTATTCTGGTATTACTTTTTTTTTTAGAATACCTATTGAATATTGACTGTAAATTCTATACCTAGTACTTATAATTATAAATATTGTACCTATATAGTTAAATCTGGTTATTACACATTTCAAGGAATCAAACTAAAAAAGCTTATTAAACGTTTATTAAAATTAAAAATTTTTTGTGATTTTTAAGAAATCTTATTTTTAACGAATTATATAAAAAACATTATTGTATAAAATGGGTTTCACTACGTATTTACATTTTTTTAAATTCCATTTCAGTTTCCACTTCTGTTTTTAATATATAAATAACTTAATTTTGTAGACAAATTTATTTGCATCTGGTGCGTCTGAATCAGAAATATTTATTTGGGATTTGAACAGTATGAGTACTCCAATGACTCCAGGATCTAAATCAGAAACTTTAGAAGATGTAATTGATTTAGCATGGAATAATGAAGGTATAAAATTATTATTTTTGTATGTTCACTAGTATATAGTTTTTTTGTTTTATATTTTATTATTAAAGGCTGAATAATGAGAACTGTAAATTGGTTTTTATTTTTTATTTTATGTTAAAGACAATATTGTATGTACCTATTTAATGATAATGACAAATGTATATTGTTATTTATTTCAAATAATAATCACTTTAATACAAATTAATAAGCTATATTCTGCCTATGTAATATTATTTAATTTTTTTCTTAATATCCTAATTTCAGTTCAACACATTCTTGGTTCATTGTTTCATAAGTATACTGTTGTATGGGATTTACGTAAGAATGAACCAATCATTAAATTATCAGACAGCAATTCAAAAGTACCAATATATACAAAATATATATATGTATTTTAATTTCAGTTATTTTAATATATGAATAAAATAAAATGTATATAGGTTAAATGGAAAGCAATGTCTTGGAACCCTAAAGTGGCAACACAAGTATGCATTGCATCAGAAGATGATCAAAATCCAGTTATTCAACTATGGGATTTAAGATATGCATCGTCACCTGTTAAAAATTTAATGGGACATCAAAAGTGATAATTCAATTTTTTTATCTTATTATACCAATAAAATGCAATAATCAATTTTAATTTGAAATCTTGATAATTATTATTGTTTTATGTGTTATAATTAAATGTTTTTTTAAATTAAGCATTTCCATATATTTTTAGGGGCATATTGTCAATGTCATGGTGTTCCGAGGATCCAGATTTATTAATAAGTTGTGGAAAAGACAATCGTATACTTATATGGAATCCAAGTAGTGAGAATGATGTAATTTGAAATGTATTTATTTATCTTATTTTTGTTATTAATACTTAAATTAGTTTTTGTAGGTCTCTATGCCTCCCTATTGTAGCTTAATTCTTTTAGAGTAGTTAGGATGACAATATTTATATAAAAAAAAACCTATATCTTTTTATAAATAAATAGTTTAATATTTTACACATATATAAACCTTCTTTGATAATAGAAAACTAGTAATACAATTTACAAATTAAGGATGAACTCGTTAAGTTAAATGTAAATTTGGTATGGCCATGCTTCTAAAATTATTAAATAACTACCCAATTTTGTTAAAAGTAATATTCAAACAAAATATTGAAATTATATTTCAAAGAATGTTATACTGATATCAAGATATACTAGGTATACCAAAATGTAATTTTCTAATTATACATTTTTTTTGTAGGAAAATTTGCTGGTATGTGAATTAGAACATAATAACCAGTGGAACTTTGAGATAAACTGGTGTCCAAAAGATCCATTATTGATAGCTACATCTAGTTTTGATGGGCTAACAACTGTATATTCAATAAACGATCTACAGAATTCCGATGATCAGGTAATAATAATTTAATTATATAATGTTGTAAATACTAATTTGAAATAAAGTTGACCATGATAGAATCCTGGTACATGTGGGTGGTCTTTTGTGACTATTAGTGGTCTTAGTTACTATACCCATAAACATTTTAAGTTACTTAATTATAATATTGTTTTAGAAAATAAGTGGTCAAAATGGAAATATCAACTCTCAATGGAAAACAGTATCTAGTTTAACAAACGCTCCCAAGTGGCTTCAGAGAAACTGTGGTGCATCATTTGCAGTAAGAAAAGAAATTTATGAAAACAAATAGAACCATCTATGTTATTTAAGTATCTTTATATAGTTTGGTGGTTGTTTGGTGTCATTTGATGGTTCACTTAAGGCAGTTCAATTAAACAAGACAGTGATTGAATCTGATTTATTGGTGTGGTCTGAGCATCTAAGTAAAATCTTAAATAATGGAAACTATGAAGGATTTTGTCATAGTAAAAGTGAAATGACTCCTGATGGTAATAATCACATAATATGGAAATTTTTAAAAACTATGTTTCAAAGTAATCCCAAGGAAGCACAGTTGGAGATACTTGGATATTCAACTAAAAAAGTTAGTGGTGTAGTTTTTAATTATTATTTTAATTATTAATTTTTAAGATGAGTTAATGATAATAATATAATATCTTTTTTCTTTTATTGAGTTAAATTTATATGTTTAGGAAGAAAATGATGGATTTCATTCTAATCTTTCTAATATTCAAGAAGAACACAATATTGTGGCTAAGTTTAATGATTTCAATTTAAAATCTTCTAACCCTAATGGTACAGTAAAATGTTTATTCTTTATTTATATTAGATTCTGAGCAGAGTAATGAAAGTGTTATACGAGTTTTTAAAAGAGAACATACCACTTTTTCGCATGTCGAATGATTCGATGACGTGATCACGCTGACAATGGGAAATTGGTGGGGGATGCTTGCCACCGGACATAAATTGGTCTCCGACCGGTATGTTCTCTTTTAAAAACTGGTATAGTTTTAAAAGAATTTAGTTTTTATTGTGGAAAAAATGGTTTGATCTTAAACTTGAGGGTTTCTCTAAGCAAATTTAATCTAGTTAATATTTGTTTGAGGGAAATCTCATACAATCATAACATTTTAAAACTTGGTACATTTTTTATGATTGATTGAAGTTAAAATTTCAATGATACTAGAAAATCCTGGTGGAGGCGAGGACTATAACATGTTTTGGTTGTAACTTAGTTTTGCTCTCTCGACGCTCACAGTATATTTAGTATTTGTGATAAGTTTTTGTCAACAATTAATTGAATGTACTGTATTATTGATAGAAAAAAAATTACTTAATATAATTATGTAATTTAAATGTCCTTTGATATATTCATTACAGTGATCAATGTACACTCAACGCCTATTTTACATCATAGCAAAACAACTTTCCCATTCCTTAAATATTTAATTTCTTATTCACTAATTAGTATTTTATGTTATAAATATAGATTTGCAGGACTTAATATATCAGTCACTTCTTATTGGAAATTTGTCTACGGCTGCAGATTTGTTTTTAGATAATGGAAAGCCAGTTGAAGCTTTATTACTTGGCATAATCGCTGGTCCTAAGACATTATCTAGAATACAAAATAAATACCTCAAGGTAAACCAATACTATAATTAATCTACGCCTTGTAATTAAACATTAAATGTGTATTATAGAATTCAAAAGAACCAACTGCTGCTTTACTACATGCAATTGTGACTAATGATTGGAATAATCTGATTGAAAATTGCAATTTAAATTGTTGGAAAGAAATAATGACTGCCATTCTAACTCATACAAATGGACCAAGTTTTGTTTCTTCTTTTGAAAAACTTGGCAATCGTCTTGCAGCTAGTGATGATCTAAGCTTGTCACAATATGCACAGCTTTGTTATATCTGTTCTGGAAATGTGGAAGCTCTTATAGATAATAAAAAAGATATCAAAACAGTTGAGAAGCTACAAGAATGTGTAGAAATGGCAATGATGTTGCATCAATCAAAATTGTCTAGTAAATCTAATTTGGAAGTTGGACAAAAAATGTCAGAACTTTTAGTGATGTATAGTGAAACATTGATTTCTCAAGGTGATCTGGAAGGAGCTTTGAGATATTTAGAGTTTACGAATAAGGTAATAAATATTTTTATTTAATTATGATTTAATAAAATTATTTATATACTTAAATATTATTGTTTTAGGATTATAGCGTTGATTTAAAAAATCAACTATATAAAGCGCTAGGGAAAAAACAAACCGCTGAAAATTCAAATAATATTTTACAGGTAATACTTAATATATTTATTTTAATAACAAACAATATGAGACATGAGTAGGTAATTATTTATAACTAAATATTACTCTTAACTTTTTTTCAGAAAACATCGAATATTGGTACCCAAGATTTACGAAAATACTCAACATCAAGTGCTACAGGAACTGTAACGCCGGAACCACCTTTTCCGTCTTATCCAAACAAATATATTCAAGATAATGATACATATCAAAATCATAGACAACTCCCCTCAAATTATCCACCTAATAATCAATCTCAGCCAACATATAACATAAATAACCAGCCAACATCTATTTATAACAATCCTCTTACTAGTACACCAGAGTATGGAAATAGTTATATTAATCAAACTAATATGCAAAAAACAGTACCTCCAACACCACCACCAGACTCTGGCAGTAGATGTATGACTCCTAGCAGTATAAAGCCAGGTATATAAAATAATAAGAATATCATTACTATGAATTAAGGGGATTCCACGCTACCGCTTTTTAGAGTAAAATAGACCTATACGAGTTCCAACTTGAGTTTTACTCCTATAATAATTTTGAAAACATATTTGAATCTATTATGAAGTCTATTTTGAATCCTTTCAAATCAGAATAATAAAAAAAAATTTTAAAACTATTTATGTCCATTAAAATTTTTAAGAATATAAGTTTTAGATTCTGAGTGGAACGATGAATGTATTTTTTTCTAAATTTCAAGTGAGGTTTTTTCTGTGGCTCGAAGGATCCAAAGTTGATTGAACAACAAAACAAAATTTGTTTTCAAAATTATTATCGGTGTTAAACTCAAGTCGGATGTTGGAATTCGTTTAAGTCTATGATTTACAGCATTTTGCCATGAAATAAATTTGTTGTTAGGCATAATGTGACATGTGCATACGAGTGGGATTGTGCTACGCTTATCTAGCTCGCCGCCAGTTACTCACACTAATTATCATTTATTAGCAGCACGCACGCACGTACTATACAGATTGTCTAAAAATTGCCTCTACTCATCTCCTTAAAAACAGTGTATGGAATCCCCTTAATAGAAAAATAGTTTTAAAATATAAAACTATTATTTTAATAAATATTATTTTCAAGTTTAAAAAAATACAATTTCTTATGTAAATTATTTTTTGTCAAAATAGTTTTGATGTAAATATGTAATCTTAGTATGCATATATAATACTGTAGGTATTATAATATTTAGTTATTATTTATTCAATTATTTTATCATTTAAAAATTAAAAAAAATCATTATTTTTATAATTATTTTTTCATACTGCTAGTTTCTTATAGTTCTTGAAGCTAATTTTTATGTTCTTTAATTTTTTTTCGGCATCTTCAGTTAGCTGAGATTCTTTTATTCTTCAATTGCCTTCATATGCATTGCCCTTATATGTTTTTTTTTTTTTTTTTTTTTTATTATTAAAATACATCTACAATCTATACAGTTAATAGTATAATAATTAGATTTGATAAAGGAATATAAAATTAACAGTGAAATAATATGATTGGGAAGTTATCCATTGATAACACCCAGCTAAACACAATATGTTAAATATTAAAAGATAACATATATTTAATTATTTTTGTATTTATTAATACTTATAATATATTTATAAAATTAAATTAACTGCAAAGTAAATTTGATTTTTTTTTATGTCTTGTTATAGGGAAGCCTAAATATGTTGTTGATCCTTCTGTTAAAGGAAATAACATTTATGGCAGTTATAACAATGGATTAGGAAATCCATCTATGGCAAATCCATTGGGACAACAAAGCGGTTTTAATACACAAATGGGGCAACCAAATACGTTAAACCAACCATTTGTACAACAAAGTGGTTTTAATTCACCAATAGGACTACCACAACCTCATATATTTAATCAAACACTTGGACAACAAAGTAGTTATAACCCAACAATTGGACAACAAAATAATTTTAATCCACTAGGGGGGCAATCAAATACTTTAAACCAACCATTGGGACAACAAAGTGGTTTTAATCCACCACCAATGGGACAATCAAATTTTATAAATCAACCAATGGGGCATACAAGTAATTTAAATGAACAATTAAATCAGCATATGCGACCAAACATTAATGATCCAGCTTCAGCTCAAATAAATAATTTTAATCAGCCTAAAAGTTTTGGTCAGTTACCTAATTTGAATCAACAACCAACATTTCAACCTATTCAAAGTCATTTAAATAATTTTTCTCAAGCAATTCCTCAATCGCCCAATTTTAATCAGTCATCGTCAACTTACAATCAAAGAGCTCCATCAGGTAAATAAATATTTATTTAGTTATAAAATACTTTTCTTAATTACATTTTTAATTTGACTAGTTGAACCTCTACCAATAAATTACATGAAAAAATCTACTCCTGCTGGCTGGAATGATCCTCCAATGTTGTCAACTTCTGCTCCAATTCAAGTAATTATAATTTTTTTAAAGTATAGATTATTCTTGGGTAATAAGACAATTTCCTCTCCGCTATATTTTGTGGAGTAGAACGTTTACCTTTATTAATTTATTCGGTTGGATATTCTCCCTGGTATGGCTTTCAGGAGTGCTCAGGTGTCGCCGAAGTCTATGCAACATTTTATTTACATCATAATGTTAGTATAAGCAAAAAATATCTCTCGGAGTATATTGTGTACCTACTCACGATGGTGATAAATTATTCTTTATTCTATGTGAAAAAATACTTCAATTTGAAATTGTATAATTTAAAAAAGTCCAGTTCACCGTCACTGCTGTTGAACAGAACAGTTATAGGTTCATGGTATAAAAAGGTAATAGCTTAAAATGAATTTAAATATTTTGAAAATGTCATTGCCTATAATATGTTATAAAATTTATAATATACATAAAAGCTGTAAGTCCCCATAAATGTTTTTGAATTACAACAAACTAACATCATTCTTATTTCTTATTTGAATATCTAATTTCATCCAAATTTGGACTTAAAATCTCTTAAAAAAAAAAAAAAAAAACGATTAGATTTGTTGTTTATAATATTCAATGTTGAAATACTTTTTTTGTGTAAGTTAGAAATGCTTATGAGGAATCTTGTACTTAATTTTCAAATCTTAGATATTAAAAGAAAAATATTTTAGAATTTTTAACTCATAATAATTTGCAAATTTTAGGGTTTTGACGCTTTTCTATTTTCAAAATTGTATCTTCACACTCATAAAAAAAAATTTTGAATGAATACTCAATTTTTTTTTTAAAATTACACTATTAACAACTTATGAGAAACTTTGTAATAAATTTCAAGTTTTTTGACCCAGCAAAATTTTTTTTTTTTTTATAATTTTCTTACATAAACAAAAATTTTAAATTTCTTAAATAGACAATTACCTCAAAATACTAAACATTTTGAAATTTTATGTATGAACAATTGTCATAAACAATTGGTGAAAGAATCATATATTTAAATTCTAAAGTACTTTTTAGATTCTGAGTGAAACGATGAATGTATTGATTTTACAATGATGTGTGTTTTAGATTCTGAGCGGAGCGATGAATGTATTGGTTTTACAATGATGTGTGTTTTTTACGGACAATTGAAAATATTTTGACTCTTTTTGAGCTGTTTACGGACATTTTCAATTTTCAATTTTTTTAGTTTTTTTTTTTTATAATTGTCAATAAAATTTTATTTGGTGGGCCAAAAAGTCTGAAAATTTAATACAAGCTTTCTTATATATTGTTACAATATCAGTTGAACAATTTTAAAAATACATAGGCACGATTTTTTTTTATAAGCATTTAAAGTTGGAATTTTGACAAAATTTATCAAAATCTCGAAAATAATCAATCATTGGAATTAAAAAATTATAAAATGTTCAGTTTTTATAACTAAGAGTTGAAAATTTAAAACAAAGATTCTCTTAAATAATTCATACTGTAACCAAAAAATCTAAAAAATACATAAACACACTTATTTTTTACATACATTTTAATTTCAAGTTTAGACAAAATTTCATATTTAAACCAAGAATTACGATTTTAGTTATTTTGTTGTGATTGTATAATATTTTATTCGTGGGTACTTGAAATTTCTAAAGTAATCTACTATATATATCTATGATAGTATCAGGGTTTGTTGTTGGTGTATAACGCGTTATAAGTACCTAATGGATATTGTGATATGATTAATTTGGAATTCATTATAGGTCAATTTTTTTTAATACCATAGATATGTATATAATATGTCTTATACCTAGAAGGACATACCGTCTCCGCTCAGAATCGTTTTTCTTATACAATGATATTATATCATTGAATTCAAATTTAATACCATCCATTATACAATGACCACTTGTAACCTACTGTTCAGCAGAGCGACACCCACTTGCCCACCTTTTTTTATTTTTTGTATTTTTTTTTGTGTCTTGTCATCACGTTTTAGGGAAGTAAAAGTGCTTGGATTTTCTTCAACAGTAACTTTTCTGATAGGAAAGTGAATCTAGTTGGTACTTTGGGGGGTCAAAACTAAAAATTTCCCAGTAGTTTTCACAAGCGCCGGGAAAAACAACATAAAAATTAAGGAAAAACGGGAATTTTTACGCAAAATCGGTTTTCCAAAAAATCGATTTTGGTTTTTGGTGTAACTCTAAAAGAAATGAACGTATATACATGCAATTTTCACTGGTTGTTTATATTTGCATTTTATATACACGATAACGTTTTCAAAATATTTTGATTTATTTTGAACTGTTTAGGGACATTTTCATTTTCCATCTTTTTTTAGTTTTTTTTCTATAAATATCAATAAAATTTTATTTGTTGGTTGCGAAAGCTTGAAAATTTAATACAAGGCTCCTACTATATTGTTTCAAAGGCAGATGAAAAATATTAAAAATCCTTAGTCACAATTTTTTTTTAAAAGCATTTAAAGTTCAAAAATTGACAAAATATGGAAAAATCATGAAAATTAGCAAATTATTTTGAGTTAAGAATTCGTAAAAATTTTTCTTTTTAAATCTAAGATTTGAAAATGTAATACAAGATTCCTTATAAGATTATCTACCTTTATCAAAAAAAAATGTCTATAAGAAAGTCAAATAAAATTTTTATGAGCGTTTGAAATTCAAATTTTTACAACATTGGATATTCACTCGATTTGTCATGTAGCGATTTTCTTATTTTGTTGTAATTCAAAAACGAATAACTGTAGATACATGAAAATTTCACTGAATGTTTAAATTAGCATTTCCTATACACCATACAATTTTGAAAATATTTTGACTCTTTTTGAGCTATTTACGGACATTTACCGCTTTCAATTTTCTTTAGTTTTTTTTCTATAAATATCAATTAAGTTTTATCTGTTGGGCCAAAAAGTGTAAAAATTTAATACAAGGCTCCTGATATATTGTTACAATATCAGTTGAAAAATATTCAAAATACATAGGCACAGTTTTTTTTTATAAGCATTTAAAGATCGAATTTTGACAAAATTTAACAAAATCTCGAAAATTATCAATCATTGTAATTAATAAATTATAAAATGTTCAGTTTTTATAGCTAAGGATTGCAAATTTAAAACAAAGGTTCTCATAAACTGTAACCAAAAAATCTAAAAAATATATGAACACAGTTATTTTTTACAGACATTTTAAATTCAAATTTGGACGAAATTACATATTAAAAAACCTAGAATAACTATTTTAGTTATTTTGTTGTGATTGAATATTATTTGTAGGTACTTGAAACTTCTAAAGTGTACTATTATATATCTATGATAGTATCACGGTTTTCGTTGATGTATAACGCGTTATAAGTACCTAATGGATATTGTGATATGATTAATTTGGAATTCATTATAGGTCAATTTTTTTTAATACCATAGATATGTATATAATATGTCTTATACCTAGAAGGACATACCGTCTCCGCTCAGAATCGTTTTTCTTATACAATGATATTATATCATTGAATTCAAATTTAATACCATCCATTATACAATGACCACTTGTAACCTACTGTTCAGCAGAGCGACACCCACTTGCCCACCTTTTTTTATTTTTTGTATTTTTTTTTGTGTCTTGTCATCACGTTTTAGGGAAGTAAAAGTGCTTGGATTTTCTTCAACAGTAACTTTTCTGATAGGAAAGTGAATCTAGTTGGTACTTTGGGGGGTCAAAACTAAAAATTTCCCAGTAGTTTTCACAAGCGCCGGGAAAAAACAACATAAAAATTAAGGAAAAACGGGAATTTTTACGCAAAATCGGTTTTCCAAAAAATCGATTTTGGTTTTTGGTGTAACTCTAAAAGAAATGAACGTATATACATGCAATTTTCACTGGTTGTTTATATTTGCATTTTATATACACGATAACGTTTTCAAAATATTTTGATTTATTTTGAACTGTTTAGGGACATTTTCATTTTCCATCTTTTTTTAGTTTTTTTTCTATAAATATCAATAAAATTTTATTTGTTGGTTGCGAAAGCTTGAAAATTTAATACAAGGCTCCTACTATATTGTTTCAAAGGCAGATGAAAAATATTAAAAATCCTTAGTCACAATTTTTTTTTAAAAGCATTTAAAGTTCAAAAATTGACAAAATATGGAAAAATCATGAAAATTAGCAAATTATTTTGAGTTAAGAATTCGTAAAAATTTTTCTTTTTAAATCTAAGATTTGAAAATGTAATACAAGATTCCTTATAAGATTATCTACCTTTATCAAAAAAAAATGTCTATAAGAAAGTCAAATAAAATTTTTATGAGCGTTTGAAATTCAAATTTTTACAACATTGGATATTCACTCGATTTGTCATGTAGCGATTTTCTTATTTTGTTGTAATTCAAAAACGAATAACTGTAGATACATGAAAATTTCACTGAATGTTTAAATTAGCATTTCCTATACACCATACAATTTTGAAAATATTTTGACTCTTTTTGAGCTATTTACGGACATTTACCGCTTTCAATTTTCTTTAGTTTTTTTTCTATAAATATCAATTAAGTTTTATCTGTTGGGCCAAAAAGTGTAAAAATTTAATACAAGGCTCCTGATATATTGTTACAATATCAGTTGAAAAATATTCAAAATACATAGGCACAGTTTTTTTTTATAAGCATTTAAAGATCGAATTTTGACAAAATTTAACAAAATCTCGAAAATTATCAATCATTGTAATTAATAAATTATAAAATGTTCAGTTTTTATAGCTAAGGATTGCAAATTTAAAACAAAGGTTCTCATAAACTGTAACCAAAAAATCTAAAAAATATATGAACACAGTTATTTTTTACAGACATTTTAAATTCAAATTTGGACGAAATTACATATTAAAAAACCTAGAATAACTATTTTAGTTATTTTGTTGTGATTGAATATTATTTGTAGGTACTTGAAACTTCTAAAGTGTACTATTATATATCTATGATAGTATCACGGTTTTCGTTGATGTATAACGCGTTATAAGTACCTAATGGATATTGTGATATGATTATTTTGCAATTTATTATAGGTACCTATTATAGGTCAAATTTTGGTTTAGTACCAATAGTACCATAGATATGTATATAATATGTCTTATACCTAGACTGACATACCGTCTCCTCTCAGAATCGATTTTCTTATACAATGATATTATATCATTGAATTCAAATTTAATATCATCCATTATACAGTGACCCACTTGTAACCTACTGTACAGCAGAGTGACACCCACTTGCCCACCTTTTTTTTTAGTTACATCAAAAAAATAATATTAACAAAAAAAATGGTTCTGCAAAGAAATTCCCATTTGCCATACATTTTTCTTTTGTTTTTTTTCTAAGCTTTTAAAAACTACTGAGAATTTTCTATTTTTACATCTTTGAATATTAAATGCATCAACTAGATTCACTTTCCCACCAGAAAAAAATTACTTTTTATCTACACACACAAAATATAAAAAAAAACACACATCATTGTAAAATTAATACATCACTCTGCTCAGAATCTAAAATGTTTTGCTTCGAATAAAAAATAAAAATATACGTATAAATGTAAGTTATGAAAAATGGGAAAAAATATTTTTTTTTCAAAAATTGTGTTTTGTAGCAATGGCTTGAAATTGATGTATAAAAAAATTTTGAAATAATAAATGTTCTTCTATTAATAAAATCACTCACTATTTATGTCTTATAATTTAATCTTATACTTAGAAACCACCAACACCTGTGTCATCAATTCCAATTACACATCCGTTGTATACAAATAATCCGCCTCCAATTGAAGAAATTGGAACTTATATTCCACTTCGAGGTACTAACGAAGAACAATATTTTAACAATAATATAACACAAGGTGTAGAAGCAATAATAAAGCAGCCTATTCCACAAGAGCATGTTAAAATTCAAGTGATATTGGATGGATTGCAATCAAAATTATTAGAAGCAGCACCCACTGCTGTAAGTAGTTGACATTTTTAAGTTATAGTTGAATCTATATTCATATCTCGAGTACATTTAAAAGTTTTTATATGTAAAGATTATTAATATACACATTATTTTTTATAGCAAACAAGAAAAAGAGTTTCAGATATTGCTAAAAAATTAGAGTTGTTGTATGACTCTTTACGAGAAAATTCCGTAAGTAATAAGTATTATAATATATTGTAGTGCCATTTAATTTTTTTAGTAATAATTTCTGAAACGTGTTAGTGATAATTTTAACAAAATGTTGAGACTATAATTATAATATTATATTATATTATACTAACATTTTATGAAACTGAAAATTACTATTATTAACTATAAATATAATTTTAATTATAAATTGCAGTTGTCTGCTTATTTGATTCAATGTCTACACACTATGATCGATCTTGTCCTGAAAAGAGATTACAATGGCGCATTTAATATACATACACAACTAGTATCGGGGCCAGAATTTTCAAAAATATCTACTTTCATGCCTTCGTTGAAAGCACTATTTCAAATGACTTATCAATATAATGTCAGCCTTGAAGGATTGTGATCAAACTTATATTGTTGAAAAACTTAAGATGATTAAAAAGGAATATTGTGTTTAACATTAATAACACTACAGCAAGTTAATATTACTTCATATGTATTTATAAATTTTATTAAACTGGTGGTACATAAAAATTATTTAATTTATATGTTAATATTTGTGTATATCTAAAAATTTTGTAATATTACATTATTTATTTTGTTTTAAAAAAACTAGTTAATGAAGATTGTTTCATGCCTTGGCTTGAACTATTTTTAGATTTTTTATTTTTGTTCTTTTTCTTATCTGCAGAATCTGATTCCGAAATTTTAATTTTTTTGATGACTGGTTCAGTATTTAATTCTTTAGATTTAGAATTATTGTCATTTCCAATAGATTCCAAACATGGTACACATTCAGTTTCCACAATTTTTACTTCTTTAGTAGTATCTGCAAAAGAAATAAATCACAATATATTAGTCTATAAATACATTAACAACTTATTTTAGTTGATATAATATTATATATAAGTATTTTGTTATCATAAAAATATGTACTCACGGACAAAACCATCATCATCTATAAATGTGGATGTGGTTGTTTGTTTCTCTTTTTTGCGATTTTCTCTTGGTGTTGGGCGTGGAGGAGTAGGCTGTACAAAATCAACGTCATCCTCACTATCCAGGACATGTTCAGATCTTTTCATATCTAAAAAAATATATATTCAATTGACAATTAATATAATATATTATACGCTTTGTCTCATATAAGATTAATTTCAGGCAAATTCTATTAATTCACATTGAACCCTTAAAATAAATCAAATTTTGTTATAAGCTTTTGTTCCCAAACACTCATTGCTACCGCAGTGTACACTACAACAGATGTTACATTTATAAAATTATATAAATAGTATAGTAGAGTATAAATACATAAATATTCTACAAGTACCTTCTTCTTCGCTATCTTTTTCTTCATCTGAACTATCAAAAGTTTGAATACGTTTCCTTTTAACTTTATGACTATTTTTACTTTTACTTTTGTTTACATTTTCTTTTTTTTTCTTTTCCTTTTTTTGATTTTTTTCTTTATCTACACTGTTTGAGTTGTCTTGGACATTTTTAGGTGACCCTAAATCAATTATCTTAGTATCTTTTTTTGTAATGTTTTCTGTTGAAACTTTGTTTTTAGAATCGGCAGAATCATTTGTTGTGCATGGACTTTTATTGGAACTCTTGAATTTTGTAAAGAAATTTGAATTGTTCTAAAAATTAAATTTATTGTTATAACTTAAATCTTAATACATTTTTAAACTTTGGTTTTATCTAACTTACTTTTTTTGGAATAACTTTTTTTTCTATTTCTTCCAGTTTTGTATTATTGGTATTATTATTTTTAGCAAAGAAATCCAATCCATTTTTCTATGAAATATATATTAAAAGTAACAAATTACAAAACTAAATATTTTAACTAAATATTAAAGTTACCTCTTTCTGTGTTTTATTTAATTTTGTGTCTGCAGTTGTTTCATTTTTATGATTTTGAACTAGATTAGGGGACAAGTTTGTCTGTTTGGTTAAAGGTACATTAATTTCCATTTCAATTACGTCTCTTTGTTCTGGCTTTAAATCATTTCCTATTTCTTTCCTTTTAATACTTGAGGGTAAATTAACATTATTTAGTGAATTGTCCACTATGTATAAAGCATTATTCATGTCATCAAATCTGTTAATAGGTTGAATACTATACACATGTTCAAAATCAATTTGTTTAAAACGCCGGTGCATAGTTTCAACATGATCATCATACGCCAATACAATACAAAACTCATCATTTTCTTTAAGTGTCCCCCCAATAGCAACGGTGATAGAGTATTTGTGATCATCAGTAAGTTTAGAAACATAATCTTTTAACAATCTGTAAATAAATAAAAAAAATTAATATGCTGCAGAGCAAATATAGAGGGTCCTCGGTACATCCACAAAAAATTGTGTAGTACTACTGTTTTTCTTAAAACATTAATTTTATTAGGTTACTTCGACAACTGAGGTCATTAGCCTGTAAGGTTAATTAAAAATCAAGGTGTACCTACTACCTAAATTAAAATAATCCTTTGAAATAATATATTTATATATTTTATAAATACAGGGTGTCCCGTGAGGATTTACCTATTAGCCGTAGAGGGGGACTCGCCGCCCGGACAAAAACCGGTTTTTTGCCGTTTTACTTATTAATTAAAAAAATTATTAAAAATCAGGAAATTAATCAAATTAAAATGTTAAAACGTCAATATTTTCAGAAACTGAAAAATGAACTCTAAAAAATGGCAATCTTCAATATTTTTTTAAATAATTAATTAAAAAAATAATTTTTTTAACTTTTTTACCAAAACATAAAAAAAAAAATTAAAAATTAGTTATTTGTAGTGCTTACCTCTGTGAGTCTTAATAAGAAAACAGAATTACGATATCTCTATTATTTCATGAGATATCGCAATGAGTAAATCCTCACGGGACAACCTGTATAGCTTATTAAAATTATTGTTTCTTAAAATATTTTTACTTAGGCTTTATAAGGATATTTACTTACTGTTTTGCTTTATTCGGATGAATATCTAATTTTTCAGCTAAATATTTATATGTTACCTGAAAATAAAAAATATATAAAACCTATTAATATCATATAAGTACATTCCTCGGAAATAAATTCTACTTATAATATTAAACATTAAAGCCGTCTAGAAAATTATATTAAGCTAAATCAATGCCTATGTTTAAATCCTATGTACTGTAGGTCCTTGGTGGGTACATTGATGATACAAATTTTAGGAGCTAATCAACATAAAAACATATAATAAAGCTGAAGCCACAGTGCCGTAACAACCGGGGGTGCAAAGAACCCCCGGGCCCCCATTAAATCATAACAATAGGCACTGGGCCCATTTAAAACTTTTTTCTTTTAAAATATTTATTTGTTATTTAAAAATAGAAGGTTATCATATATTATTAACTTATGCCTAGTGACTAGTATGTTTATTAGTTATCACAGTGCAACCCTCATTTGGTTTTGCTTTGACTCTCGAAAATTGAATAATTGTTTTTTTTTTTTTTTTATATATGTAGTGTTACGATAAATTGATTACAGAAATAAGATATAAAAAACAAAGATTGGTAAAGACAGTAAGCCAGCCATCCATTGCTATGGGATTTTTTGTATAATATTAAAATTATTGTTTGTTATTCAAATGTAAAACAAAATACAATGTGCTTATGTTTGTAATTTAAAGACTCAAAAAATACTTAACATAATATCGATTTGAACAAGTTTTATATACTGTTCTTAGGGATATCAGGAAAGTTTAGAGGGTAATTTGAACCTTATTCAAAAATATACCAAGTGCTATTTCTATTCCAGCACAGGCGGATTTCCCATCTCGGTCAAATTAATTCCCAGAGCAAGGTACATCAATGCCGATTTGCTCGTTGACTGAGTATAGTGCTGTATATTATATTATATTTTAATTTTCTTCACTGGCAGTCGGGATATACAGCTAGTAATTTATTAATTATGAAGACTTAAGGAGTGTTTATTATGAAGTTAACATCATTATTGTTTTAACTTTTATTTATCTAAATACTTAGCACTTGGTACTAGGGTTGAAATAAATTTTCACCCATATTGGTGAATTGTAATTATTATTACAAGTATACTGCAATGAGTGAATCACTAATGTGCCATTTTATTATTGACTAGGATAAGACAAAAAGTTTTAATTAAGTATAAACTATAAAAATCTTACAATTTGTTGTTTATCTTCAAGTTGTTCAACAATAATTTTCATTTCCATTTTATTTAAAAATCAATAAAATGTAGTTTATGACGTGTATCTTAATTTAAAATAAAAAAAAACTTCAATACCTATAATGTTTTAATAAAAAATAAAAATACCTATATAGATTACAATATATAGGTTGATAGAATTTAGTATTTTACATTTTTACGACCAAAATACCGATTAGCGATGAATAACGTTAAATAAAAATGATACCATTATCTAATATGATTTTTCATTTAGAGCAAAAACTTTGCCGCTAAAAAAACAAAGAAATTTATGGAATTATTTTGACAAACTTTATAACCTCGAAGATTATTGAGATATATATTATCTTATCTCAGTAGTCCGTGCATGGAACATATAATGGACCGGGAATGTGATTCACGATCCATAATTATACGTTCCAATAGAAATTTGTCCCAAAAAGTTTTGTTGTAAAAAGTTTTTGAGACAAATATTCATTGGAGCAACAATTAATTATGTATGTAATTAGAGCATGATTGCAGGAGTATTCAACATGGGGAACAGGAAAAGAAGTCTTGGCGGGAAAAATTTTATAGCCAGTATTATTATTAATTTTCTTATTTCATTGTAACTTATACATGATAGAATTTTCAAAATATTTTGACTAGTTTTTAGCTGTTTATTGGCATTTTCTTAGTTTTTTTTTTTTTTTTGGTGTCGAAATGCTTGGAAATTGATTACATGGTTCCTTATAGGTTGTCATAATAGCAGTTGAAAAATATTAAAGGTCCCCTATACGCGATCTTTTTTGAAATACCTATTTAAAGTTCACATTTTGACAATATTCATCGAAATCTAGAAATATGCAAATTAGTTTGTAGACTTGTAGTTCTCAATCTATTTATGATATTTTGTTGTACCTAATTCAAAAACGAAAGACTGTAGATAATCGACATTTTTACCAAATTCTTATAGGTAAAATAGTATTTTCTATATACGTAGGTGCATGGTAACATTTTAAAATTATTTTGTATTTCATTTACATAAATCGGTAATAGGCTATAGCTCCCCCCTACCCCCCCTCAATATATTTGATCAGCCTACGCCTATATGACCACGCTGCATACTTGGTGCTTTTTTAATGTGTCCATTGACAAAAATAGCTTGTAACTTTGTAAGCAATACATTTCTCCGTAATTTGTTTCTTAATGCTAATCGTCCATCATTTGTATGAATATGTAACAATTTATAACGAAATTATGACCAAAATAGTTTTCGGTGAATATATCATAATTTATTAACATAAAATGTATGGTTATTTACTATAATAATTATAGCTAAAAAAAAAACAAGATGTGCCAAATTTGAACACGGTGAGCTGAAGACCCTCTTGCCCTCCCCCACCCTTCTAGTTAAACTAATGGGGCAATTTCCAATGGCCTTGTTTCCAAAAGGAACGTCTTATAATTATTTATAATCCAAAATATTTCTTCAAGTAACCACTTTATCCACAAAACATTTGATCCAATAGTCATTTGTTCGTTTGTTGTGGTCGTAGATTAAAGATTACAAAGTTATTGATATTTGATAAGAAAATAACAAATAAATGTCGTTATGAAAAACTAAAAAGAAATTTCATTTTGTAAATTGTATTACCTAAGTAGTTGTGTTACTATATTAAAGTGAATAAAATATAGTTTTATTTATGATTTAAACTAAACATTTCATATTGTGTTATAAATTTACGTTGCCTATTGTAATTGGCAATTGCATAAAATAGAATAATATAACTAATTTAATAAACCTTTCATTTTTAAGTACCTATATATTTTTTATACAATCAAGAAGTTTAAGGTAATATTTAAATTTTTTTGTGTCTTCAATCATAATTCATAACAATAAAAATCCTCATTTGTTTAATTGAATAAGTAGTATAATCTCAAGACAGTAATATAATATCAGAAAACATTGTTGGGTATTTAGAATCTAAACATCCTACAATACTTAAACTTTAGATTAACCACAGATATATACAATAATTATAATAATATTATTGTATATATCTGTGAGATTAATTGACACCCTCATAAATATTGTAGATAGTGTTTGCTATTGGTTACAATCTATCAATTAATGATTTTGGTTATTATGTTTTTAAAAGTTTTACTTGGACAAAGTGTATAATATTGTATGATATAACATAATAATTAGGTATTTATTTCTAAATACCTATGATATTTTTTTAATGGAGATTCTTTAGGCTTTTCATTTTAATGTCACCCAATAATTTTAATAATTAGGAACAGAATTTAAGTATGAATATTTAGTATAAGTATAAATATTAATTAATTGCATTTTGTTTATAATCGATTACATTTAAGATAAACAAGAAGAAAAATAATAGATACTCTCAAAATGTTTTGTGTATCAACTGCTATAAACTGACATTAATATACAAAAATTTAGTAAGAAAATGAGTATTGACAATTTTGTATACATATAAGATTGCAAGAAAAAATAATTAATTTCATTGTATTTCATACCTTTTTTGAAACAAGTATTTACTTGGGTGCATATAGTATCAACTATCAATTTAACATTTTTTTTTTTCAGGTTTTATTAATTCATTTTACCTATACTTATTTTGTTAAAATTTATAAGTATAAAGTGTAATTGTTGCAGCTAAGATGAGTAATAATCCTAAAGTAAATATGAGTATTCAAGCAACTAAAAAGGTAAATGGTTTAGCTGATCCAACTAAACCATTTTCTTCATTTATGAAATATAACAAAAATGATCTTGATATGAAAATGAAATTTATAAAAGCACCTGCAATGAATACTTTCCTCAAAGCTAAGGTATTTTCTATGGTTAAAGACAATATGATGGAAACATATAAGAAGTGTCCTTGGGGATGGAATGGGAAGGATAAACGTGCAGAGTTGTTCCACAAAGACTCTAGGTAAATTACATTTTTGTTTAAATACAATGCATCATTAAAGTAATTATTACTTATCATAAATATTACAATGAAAAAATTATATTTTGTTGTAGATATATTTTAGTTCAGCATTCAAGTAATAACTCTATAGCAGCTTTTGTGCATTTTCGATTTGATATAGAAAATTTGATTGAAGTTTTGTATCTATATGAAATTCAAATTGATAAAGATGTACGTGGTAAAGGTCTTGGAAGATATCTCATGAGCCTCTTGGAAACCATAGCATTTCACTACAAGATGAAACGTATTGTTCTAACAGTGCTTAAAAGTGAAGAAGATGTAGTAAAATTCTATTTTTCACTTCAATATGAAATTGAATCATATTCTCCAGAAGACGCATTTTATTATATACTTAGTAAAAAAAAAAAAACTTTAGAACTTGTAAAGAACTAATAAATTTGTTACAGGTTTGTTCAAAATCTATAACAATAATAATTTTAAAAACTTTGTATACATATATTTTAATTTATATTATATGAATTTAATACTTCGGGTTACATTATTTGTATCGTTATTGCTACAATTTAAAATTCATAATTTTATTATGAAATAATATACAATTTTTATAATAAAATTATATTTATAGTACATATATATTTTTAAATAGTACAGATTAATTAAGAAATCACAACATCTTAGGAACTTACATCTATTAACAACCTATAACAAAGACTGAAGTATAAAAATGTGACAAACAACTGAGAAATTAATAATATACATACATCACTCATAAGAAAAATAATTTAAAGATAAATAAGTTATTCATTTTTCATACAAATTATCAATTGAAATTTGAAATAAAAGTTTAGATGACATTATTGAAGAAATTTAAAAATACTAAATTTACATAAATAGTTGGAAACATTCATAACATTTAATACAATGGAGAACAAGGAATGAAACTTGAATAATATACTTAAGTATTTTTGTTCATAAAAAAAAAAACTAGGTCTAATAATATATGAATGAAATATAAAATTATGAGAGTACATAACCTTGCCTTATAGAATATGCTACACATAATTTTTTATTTTTCATCACACTGTATACAGTAAATTATATTTTAAACCCTCCATTCTTTAGTAATATCATATTAGGTTATATATGAAAAAATTTAATTCTAATTAGAATCTATTTTTTTAGATTTAGTCATAATTGTGTTCAATATTTTAACAATATACAATATAACTATAAAAAAATATAATATTTATTAATGTTATTATTAAACCTCTAAAATAAAGTATCGGAAAAAGACTAAATATAAAAAATATGTTCTTTACATTTCAAGAATATACCATAACCTTAACAATGTTAACTTGGATATAATTTGGTTTGGAATACATAGAATATAATTATTATATGGTATGTATATTGTATATTATGAAGTGTGATATGCCGCAAACCAATAAATAACTTAACATGTCTTCACTACATATTAAGATAATTTTCTACTAAATTTATAATTTAGTATGTTTGACATTTTCTGTCCAGTAGTTTTGGATTGTCATGGCTTCTAAGCTGTTTAAAAATGAATCATTGTCTAAACTATACATTTCATCGGAATTTTCCTGTAATATTAAAAAAAAATTTTATTTAAATAAAAATGTTAGTTGTTACTATAAATAGGTAATAATTTTTGCTCATTGCCTCACTATTTAAGTAATCTTAAATTCCTAACTATAATTTATTATAACTTTTAAAATTGATCAAACGGTATAATAGTCAAACATAAGCACAAGAAAAAATGAAATATTGAAATAATTAAAGATCAAAATCAAAATTATAAGATATTAATGTTAACTTACTTTGAACATATCATCTAAATAACCAATAGAGTCTGCATTGCTACAATGATCAAGTGCTTGGGGAGTATTCCATCTACTTTTTTTGTACATTATATATCCTAAAATGACTTAAAAAAAAAAAAAAAAATATATTAACAATAAAACACAAATCAGTCATATATTATGTAAATATAATATATGTATATATTATTATATATTATATCTACAACACTCATATCCAGTTTAAGTATGACAGTTTCGAGCACACCAAATGAGCATGCTCAAACCCCCTAATGCCGAATTCGGCAAGGATCATATGCCGATCATTATTAGCAAACGATGAGTAGAGGCGGTACCAAGTTGATAGTGGGGAAAGAAGTGCAGTTTTAACACATTTGCGTCTGTTGGACTGGTCATTCTTAAAATTAATAGAGCATATAGACAAAAAGAATGAATAAGTGGTGCTCGGAAATTGCCAAATTTTATTTTAATATTTATATGTAATTTACTCTACTTGTTGAGCTGTAATAGTTTTTAACTAGAAGCTGTTTAAAAAAAATAAAAAAAAAAAGTGGTGCTCGATATTATTACTAGATAGTTAAATTGTTGAGTTAAAAATCAAGGAATAATTTTTTCCTCCTTTAAAGTATTTCACAATCTGTTTTTTAATTTTAACTGGCAACATCAATTTTTAATTTCAAATTTGCTATAGAAATACAGAATTATTTGTTATTACCTACAACATAGCAAGGCTTAGGAAACTAAAAGAAACTTAATTTAGTTTAACTCTTAACAGAAATTTTAAGTATTGAATTATACATTAGAAAAATAAACTTACTTTAATTTATGATCAGTTTAAAAAAATTAGCATTATAGTCGTAGTACAACTTTATTTATACAATCTGCTTAAATAATATAATATAAATTCAGAAAAAATTTACAAAAAAACAACATTAAATTATTATTAATCTTTGACTAAAAATTCTGTTTTATATTTTTATTGAGTATTCAATATACCAAATTATTACTGATTTTAATATTTTTTGTTTCTTATTAATAAAATTTGTAAAATACCAAATGATAGAATAATCACGCAGCCAGCAAGAGAAGCTCCTGATATCAAAACAAAATGAGAATTCATATAACTTGAAATTTCAGGTAACGATGTGATATTTGTAGATGTGTCATTTGATCTGTCAAGTATATCTGTGAATAAATGTATCAATTAAATATTTTTCTGTTGATATTGTAAATTAAATATATAAAAACCTGTTTCATTCTGAAGTTCATATTGTTCTTTTAAAGCAAAATTGTCATTGAGTTCTGTGGAATTTTCTGTCAACAAAACAATTTGCGATTTATTGTTTACTTGTACATTATTAGCAAGTCCTAAACTAGAAGGAACCGTTTTTAGGCTGTGTATCTGTGTACTGCGAGCAAGACGAATTAAACTGTATGGAGTAAATACATTACTGGACAACGCTATTGGTAAAATACCTGAAAAAATAATAAAATATAAATAATTTAAACAGATAATTGAATATCAGACACTTATTTACCTTTCAGGTAACTAGCCAAACATATAAAACAAATTAAGTACATTATGTTGATATTAGGTAATAGAACATTTTAAGAAAATTTTTAAGTCGTAAAAATATACAATATTTTGTTACAGAAGTTTGTGAAAAAAAAGTGTACATACAATCGAAAAACTTTAAATTAATAGTGTGTAATAATTATTTATAATTAAGGATTAGCGAGAAGAAATCATCTTAATTGCCTATTATTAATTGCACTTTCGCACTTCGCACTTAAATAGTTGATTATTATTGATTGATAACAAAGTGTTTGTTTATACTACGGACGAAGATATCTTGAGGATACCACGGACGAAGATATCTTGAGGATACCACGGCTGTGGTTTATACTTAAGTGTTGGTCAATGCAATAATATGTATAGCCTCTTTGGTTTTTACTGTTTGTATTTTGTACGTTAATATACTAATATCACAGAACAATAATATATATCATATATATATACATACTATCTTAAATTTTATTTTTACTACTTTAACAAGTTGGTTCAAATCAACAGTTTCGCCGTTATCAACCCTATCACCGGTGTTTGAGAAAGTTGTAGTGAGTACCTCTTTCTTCAATAATAAAAAAAAACGGTCCATTCTCCTTTAGTTCTTCAATCTTCATAGCCCATAGGTCTTTGTTAGTATTTTTGTATCCGATGTCTACGATTATCTAGAGAGTCTATATATATATAAATATTATATATTATCCAGGCTCTCTACGATTAAGTATCTATATCGTGATTGTTCTTTGTGGTGCCAGGACCTACGGTTTGTACAAAAAATAAAATATACACGTTAAATTTTTCATGCATGATATGAACTATAATAATGTACTAATGTCAGTGGCGGCAGCAATGCGTGAACTTTTCGGCAACTGGCAAGTGATATAAGAAAATCGTTGATTATTGGTAAGATACATTTTCATAAGTAATTCGAATTTCGAATATTTTTGTAAGAATTGTAAGGCGGCTTCAATATGCGGTCTACTTTGTGATTTTAATTCGATTGCTGATATAATAAATCAAATTTTAGATTCTGAGCAGATCGTGTTGATTTACGATGTGTTAAAAATGTAAATATAATATATATGGCCATAATAGGCGTGCGCACGGGTGCAGCAGAAGGTTCATATGCTGCATCTGCCACATTTTTTGGGCCGATTGATTAGTCTATGGGCCGGTCGGGGCAATTCATTATTTAATAATTTAATATAAATTATAATAATTAATGAGTAAATAAAATTGATGTGAACCATAAATAATATAATTATTTTTAAAATAGAGCGTAGACAAAGCTATCAGTTAATATGTTATTAAACAAAAATATATAAAAATAAAACGTATAGGAAATTAGGAACTATAATACTATGTATATATTCAATGTTTTGGTTATTGTCGTTGGCCGGGAGGTGGTACTACTTGCCAAAATTAATTATTTTCATTAACTTGTCCACCTTTGGATTTTAGTACCCATAGTTTTCACTAAAATGGATTAGTCAAGTCTCGGGAAAAGTATATTATTTATTATGCATACCTAGGGATGGCAACGATATATCGATATATCGATATTTACTTTTCGATAATATTGGTACATCGATATTTTCTCTTCTACATTATCGGTACATCGATATTTTATCAATTGGTACGAGTGTACGACTGTACGAGCTGATACTTCGTACGTATCGGTTTTGTTTCTTTATTTTAATTAAAAAACGAATAATAAATACAACCAAAATAATGATTTTGAATAAAACTGAAACTTTTCTTAGACTCCCTATCCAAATTACAAACTACGTAGGTAGATCAAATTTTTCTCGAAATTGAAGATCTAATAATTTTTTATAATACAAAAAGTATCTTCACATAGGTACATAATAATTTAAAAAAAATAAAATAACACATCATATTAACCAGTAAAAAAGTAAAAGTGACCATGGTCATGTTTACGTATGGCCATAATAAACAGTCAGGTTTTTTATTTTTCAGGTCATTGTAGTTATGTTATATTAATTTAAGTCTATTTTTGCAAAATTAAATATATTTTTATATTCTAAAATGGCTTTGTCCATCATCTGTATATTCTTCAAATTTTTATCCGACATTTATAGGAATTGTATAGGTGTAATAAAAACTACATTAGTGGAAATGCGAGATCAACATAATATTTTGAAAATATATAATTATTATACCTACAAATATAATAATATAATACTATATACCTGTTCCGCCCAGCGTTGCCCGTGCCAAAGATTTGTTTTTTTAATGTTTGCAAATGTTTATAAATGTTATAAAAAAATATATAATATGCCATATTTCTACTAATTATAAATTATAATAGTAATATAATATGGAACCAATGGACAATTTTTAAATAAATAAAAATAAAATGAGTATTCATTTTCTTGACACGAAAATATGCATGTGTTACCTACCCCTATAGGGGTTTAAAAAAAGAACGCTGTTAACACTCTCCGAGTCTCAAGGAATCGAATGATTGTTATTGAAAACGGTCAGTAGTTTTCGAGTCTATTAACTTCGAATAGAACAAGATTCATTTTAGGTGTATAACCGAGTGTATAACCAACTTCGCCCATGAAAAAATATAAAATATAGTGCTATATAGGAGGTGCATCTTGGTTTAAGTGTACCCACAGATACATATACTACTATTATTACTATATCTGTGGTGTACCTCACTTCATCAGCCGCTAAATCGGCCCGGTGTAACTTTCGCTTTTTATGAATGAATTCGACAGAAATGAACAATATTCACCGGTGGCAGATTGCTTATAAACTTAATACCTATACCTCTAAGAACAATTTGAAATGTCCACAAAATCGGTCAAGTAGTTTTTGAGTATATAGGTTACAAAGTACAAACATGATGCATTTATAAATTTTATATTTGTTTTATGATGTAATTTCTTTATTCATAAATACTACGATTTGATGCATGCTTTTACCTCATCTGTCCTAATAACCATAATGGCAACAATTTATACTGGGCTATCCATTTAAGTGTCTATACTCATTATTATGAAAAGTTTCAACTTTTTTTTCTTAAGTTAATCTTATTTCAAAATAAGTAACTAGATTTTTTTTACCGTTATTATTTTTTAAGTATTTTATTTTTTTTAATGGAATTATACTTATAAAAAAATCAGCTTTTGCTATATGTCACGGTCATCGATTCAGTGTCACTTCGTACATTTCGAACTTCCCTCCCCAAAGTGGCATTAAGTTCATTGGTGAAAATCGGTGAGGTTTAAGCTAAGGCTTATCCCCCCTCCCCCCTCCAAAAAAAGTCCGGCAAGTCCTCTTTCTTTTTTAGTTGTGAGGGATCGAAGCCCCCCGCTCACATTGATGTTTAATGATGTTGTAGCCCCCCCCCCCCTGAAATTGTAATAGATTTCCGCCTATGAATAAGTTTGAAAAATTAAATGTTCAGATTTTTCTCTTTGCACTATAAGGCAGGACGGCAGGTCTTATTTTTTCAAATGGCACATAGGTATATATTATTGCTATGCTCTTAGATAAATGTTATCATAAGTATTAGAAAAATCAAATTTACAACCACTAATATCTTTAAACGGCTGCATCCAAGTTCGGTCCTGAATTTAAAATTGCTATACTAGTTGAGTCTTGGATTATTTGAAATGCTTCACTTAATTAGGTACTACACTTGTTGGGTTCCGGTTTTTTTTTCAGGTACTTTTCTAGTTGGGTTCAATATCATTGATAACCTTATCTTATCATTATTTGTATGTATTTTGATTTTAAACTTTTTATACAAACGAGTTACCGAGTCAGTTACATTACTTACAGAAGTATGTTTAGTGTAAAAATTCAATTGAACTGTGCAATTTAAATTATGTGTGACGCTGGTGAAAAACGAAAAAAGTGGCACTGAATGGTACCAGAAAAAAGAAACTGTAATGGAACATATTTACGTGGAACCTTGTTTTTAAATTATCAATTTTCACCTATAGAAGTTGAAACATTTTATACATTTTTTAACAAATAAATTATAAATCTGATAAATCTCGTCAAAATTCGAGCTTTAAATGATTATAAAAAAAATTTGTGGGCTATGTATTTCAATATTTTAATGGTATTGTAACAATATATCAGGAGCTTTGTATTCAATTTTCACGCTTTTTGGCCCAACAGATAACATTTTATTGGTAATTAAAATTTTAAATGGTCCGTAAAAAGATCAAAAAGAGTCAAATTATTTTAAAAATTGTATGGTGTATACAAAATCTAATATAAGTATAAAATTCTCGTGTCACAATGTTATTTACCATATCCTCCGAAACGGCTTGACTGATTTTTATGAAATTTTATATGAATATTCAGTAAGTCTGAGTGATAAGGGTTGTCCAGAAAAAATAAAAATGGAATAATATTATTACTAAATAAAATAGTGTATTATATATTGGTTACGGGGTGATTAAAAATGTATGTTACAATAATAGGTATAGTAATAGTATATTATTGTAACAAAAATTTTGAATCACCTTTCTACCAATAAATTAATGTTTGTGTATTGTGTGTAGATTAGACCTATGGGAAGTAGATCGGCTAGTTGTCGAGAAAAAAATAATATTATTATTAAAAAAAATAATAGCGCATTATATATTGCTATTGGTTAATCGGGCATGTTTGTTATTGATTTATATTATTTTTTTTTGTCAATATATATATATAAATGAATGTTTGTGGGTGGATTAGACCTCTGGAAAGAAGATGGGTTAATTTAAAAAGGGTTAAATTTGTTTTTTTTTATTCATCGGATATTAGTACGGTTAGGTCAGGTTAGGATTTTGTATTAATTGATTATATTAATCCACCGTAAACTGTTATAACTTTAATTATAGATACCTAATACCTATTATATATTTTACTCATTTATGGGTAAAATTAAACAAATTTTGAAATTTGAGTAAAATGATGAAAATTTTTTTTTTTTGGTGGGGGGCTACATTTGCGGTGCAGGGCTGGTTTGTTCCATATTTCC